GTGCAGAAGCAACAGTTTACCCTTTGAGAAACCTTCCAATTACAGCACTGACTCACGGCTGTTCGACGTGTTTAAAAGGGAATAAAGACCAAGCAAGTGATTTTAACTTGATGTTTTCTACAAGCCAAACAATTTGATCTTACATGAGAAACGATGTTTTTGGCCAAACCTGTGTGTAATATGCATGAACCAGCAACAGGTTCTACTTCACAGATCCAGGCCCACTAAGGTTCTGCAGTTCCAATCCAGCATGCGTTCAGTCGGGTGCTATAGGTTGGCTCATTGTTGGCTTTACCCCCTATATTGTAGGCAACATTGGAACCTGCTATTGATGAATAGCTAATCAAACTTGATTGTAAGTTCCTGTATGTAGAGCCATGAGCTATTTTTTCCCTGTGTTTTAATTGACCAAAAAGCAGATCCAGATATTTAGATATTATATTTAGACCACTGCACAAAGGTACAAATCAGACTTCTCACTGTTAAATGTATTTTTTTTTAAACTAGCGTTCATTCAAGCAGTACCACCTCTGTATGGATGATTCATAAGGTGCAGTTCTAGACCAGTCTCCCTGTAGAACTGGTTCTGGCTCCTGTTATTGCCCCTATACTGTAGACTTAATACCAAAACAATGTCTTATTGTAACATGTAGTGGCAAGGAGAACTCAACTGATTGGTCTCTTTGACCAATTACATTTTTCACCTTTTATAGTTTAGCATTCAACAAAGAAAGTGTTTTCCTTTTAGCTTCAGCCATATTTATCAGGGATCTGCAACTTTTAGCTCTAGTAGAGCTAGAGGCTCTTTGATAATTTGTCTCAATATACCAATCAGTGAATTATTGCATTGTTTTTTTATTTCATTTTTCTTATGGTTCATTTGACCCTCACGCCCAGTAAATTAAAACCATCTAGAACCAAAGCTGGGTATGTTAAACAATCCAGGGGATGTTTTCCTTTTTTTTTTTTTTAAAGTATGAAACAAACATTAAGTTTTCCCTTCTTTGATTCTTATGTGCTGTGTTTTGAGTTAAATCACTAAAAGGTTACAGACATATGCCCTAGACGCAGGAACAGGGCTAATCTTGTAATTCACTCATTTTCTGCTTCTTTCCAAATAACTTCCTCTAGGAAATCTGCAGCACATTATAGTTTCATGTCTATTAGATTTAGTTATTCAGTATGAAAGAGTTCACGAAAATGAGCTCGCCTGTTTCTGACAGATAAAAACAGCCAATATTACTGACCAGTAAAGCTGTGTAGGTCATCAGAACATTGTTCTGAAGATTTCCATAATTGTAGAGACTGTTTCAAGTGAAACAGAAAATGCAATACTTTCCCTTTTCTTTCAATAAGCAATTATCTGTATCTTTGAACAGATCTTATTAAATTCAAAATGAAGAATATTTAATAAAACTAAAGGAGAAAAAAAAAGAGAATATCCCTGTTAGGTTTATTCTTTTTTACATCATGTGCATTGTTATTTTTGTTAGTCAGATTAGACAGAGCAGAAGGCCTTCCTTCACATTGTGGATGTCACGGTGTGTACGGAGGTCATCTAATCAAAACAGCCTTCGTGTCTTTAAGAGTACACAGGATATGGGCACATCTTGGAGCCGGTCTGATAGAGGATAGCTATCTGTAACCCTGAAGTATAGAAGCAAGCTGTATGAAGTTCAAGACATGGATGGCGTGTCAGTTTCTGATACGGCCAGCTCAACATCAACATGATGCAACACATAGACTCATGAGCTATAAGAAGCAGGTGATGACATTGTTCGGGGCTCAAACTTTGCCGGACGCTCGCGGACGTGATTTTTGAGACCACAGCTGTGCAAGCTCTAAGCATTATTCTCTGTCCGGTAACGACCTGATCTGGAATAAACTCATTTTTTACTCCTGTGTCATTTTTTACTCCTGTTTTTATAGTCTTTTTATATGGTTTTACCCAGTTTGAGTTAAGAGTAGTAAATAACTTACTCCCAGGAAAAGAACCGGTGAGAAGGCCCCCGGGGCGCTACAGCCTTCCTTCCAAGGAGACAAATCCTTCTCATTTTAACATCCCATTAGGAAAAAAAAGCTAATTTTTTTAAAATTTTGTCCAAATATTTATAACTTTATCTTAGCAGAGACACCACACAGATTTAGAGGCACTACAAGGTTCTTCAATAAAAGATTGGCTCAGGGGACAAAATATGCATGTCCTATTTTACAGCCTTTATCTACTCTAATGGAGGTGGTTCTGCAATATGGAACTGATAGTTCTTCATCACAGACATGATGCTTTAACCCATTCCCAAATTTGATGTCATGGATAAACAAGTATGGGGTCCTCAGATTCTCTACAGAAATTTAACTTAACACTAAAATGATATTGATGAAATTATTAATGTGGTTAAAGATTTAAAAACTTTTGAAAGAAATTCACAAACACAAATACATTGATTGGTGATGTTTGTTTGATTTAAATGACGTTAATACCAATAGTTAATAAACGTTTTAGAACTAAATTCCATTCTAGTACTTTTTGTGGGTCAGAAGCCAAAATGCTTGGAAACCTCTGCTTTGCAAACCCAAAGGTCAGTTACATGTTTCATGAAAGAAAAACCCACGATGTTGACAAAAAATAACTTGAGTGTGAATTAAAGTAATAATAAATAGAAATTCTATGAAAATGAACAGAGGCAGACAAAACTAATAAAACAGGATTGGTCAAGAACACGGTACATACTAATAGGACCACATAACCTCCCACTAAACTAAAGCTACGGTTCAATGTCTTGCTGTCAGAGTATTAAACTAAATGTGTAAATGCATGCAATGAAGCAGAGGATGCCTGTGTAGACCTGTTGCTTGGGAGTTTTTTTGTGCTTCTTGGTTTTCAAAAATGAGGTCTGATGACGTGTTTTCACCACAGTCTGTTTTGGGTTATTAGCTGTGGTCATTTTATCTCTTTTTATTGGATTTATATGCAAGTTTCTGGTTTTTATCTCGTTCTCTAGCCACAGGTGGCACACTGAAACCCACTCTTACTGCTTTTCTTAGGATTGCATAACTATATCTCTTTCCATTTTGTTTTTGACCTTCTCATTTTGCTCTGAAGGTATACAGAGTCTATGAATTCTATAGTAATGCTTATATAAAAAAAAAGATTGAGTCGCAGAAAATGCATTTAATGAGTATTGAATCATTTTAGTGAGCTACTTATTTAAATTCCACTGGTTTATTAATGGTTTATTGAAATAACCGTTACTAAAGGTTTATATGTTCTTTGTTTCTAAATAAGTAAATAATATCTGCCTCTCTGTAGTGAACTCTAGAGGAAGAAGGTGAAACGTGAAAAAAGATTCTTCTTGCCACATGACATAATGATGTCGTTATAGGCACTGCCGTTTTACCTACTGTTGTGTGGACATTAGGAGCCTAGTCCTTGATGGAATAGATTATGAGGAAAGGGAAGATTAGTTATAGCCTTCTGCAGACAGCAGTGGCAGAGTATCTCTCCTGCATGAGTCGTGGTTGCATAAAGGTGCAGCACGCTGCCCTAAACGGATCATTTCATTGGCTTCCATACAACATAAATGAACAAAATCAACATAAAGCTTCCTGTCCTTTACTTGTGTGTATGTGATGGCTTAATGTTCCACAGAGAAAATAGGCTGGATAATGGGCAGCTGTTTATCACTCCCTCAGTAGGCAACTATTGGGGAATTAATCATTTGTCTCCCACCGCTTCTGAACAGTTTAAGGCCGCTGTTCTCCACATGGCTGGGATTTTCGAGGCCATTCTATCATTAAATGAAATTTGTTTTGATAGAAACCATTTCATCAGGTTGATGTGTTCGTTTTCTGCCATCATATTTTGCATACAGGCCAGACAGTTCGGAGCAAGCTTTCTGTGTCCCCTTGTTGCCAACTCAGAAAAACTTCCTCTGGCTTTCCTTCCATGATGGCTCATATTCTTTGCCTTTCTTACATAAGGACCAGATTCATACAAATTAAATGTTTTCTCCTTAGGGATTCCACATCTCTGCATTTCCTCCAGTTTCTCTAGGATTTCATGGCTGGTTCTCTGATTAACTAGCTATTCACACTGTTGGTTGGTTTAGGCAGACAGCCACGTTTGGGCAGGTTTGCAGATATACCATATTTTCCACTTCTGACTGATTGATTGAACAGCGCTCTTTGAGATGTTTAAAGCTTGAAAGATTTAAATCCTGATGTCATCTTTAAATGAAATTCAAACCAAAGCAGTGTCAGCTGTGCAATATTTATCAGAGTTTAAATATTTGTCAATGCTTCAATTCATGTCAGATGTTTGCAGCTGGTTGACCCTTGGATGAACTTCAAATTTTCTACATCAGAACTGGTTTTATTAGTCAAGACTGAAGGCACAAAGCTTCAGAGCTTACAGACATTAGGGAAAAAAAACAACAAAAATTGATTGAAACAATTTCTCTATGATTTTAGGTAGGTGTTGGGAGGGAATTCAATCTGCCCACTGTGTTATTTGACTTTTATGACGCTGTTTGTTCACTAATGTTCTCTAACAAACCTCAGCTTCATCAGACAGCTGTATTCACACCGAGATTAAACTTCAACTCACACCGCTGGACTCCATTTACTAGATATATGACGTTTGCACCAAATTCTCTCCAAAAGAGGCTGAACTCTTCAGCATGCCATACTTCAGGTTTTATTTGGCAAAAAATGGTTCAAAGCACCTTCAGTTTACAGATATACTCCTCTTTGAAGAGGTATGACATAAACAAAAAGATCGTGGTTGTAACATGTCCAAATGGCACACGTGTCTGAGGATGCTGCTTGTATCAGACAGCATACCTCAAGGACTCAGTGGCGTTTCCACCTGCTCCACATTTGTTTGCCAAAGGCACTGAGACAAAGGATGTAAATCAGATGCGCAGCAATAAGCAGAGTTTCTGCACAGCATGCGTTTAATTTCCAAGGAACAATTTTTATATTATTTTGAACAGGAATGAGAGGAGACCGTGAACTTTGACAGGTTTACAGGTTTGCTACAAGAAAGTTACTCTGAGCATTATAAATGGTAAAAGCAAGGCCAACTGTGTTGAATAATATCTCAATATTTCACAAAAAAATATAAAGCTAGGTGTATTTTTTATGTTCTTTCCATGTCAGACATGTGGCGAAGTTCATGACCATCATAGATAACAGCAGCACTCATCTCCTGTCAAATTTCACTTGAGTGCTTCTCAAAGAAAATAGTTGCCATTAGTCCTGTCTTATCGTTCGGAGGGCTGAGAGCCGCTTGTGCCCTCCATCACCTGAATTAGAAGTTTGTGCGTTTGTCTGATTTGCTGAGCTTTCTTCCTGTTATTTGCTATGGTTTGAACCAGTGCAGGCTGGTTTGGTTCAGAATTGCAGACCTAAAACAACTATGTGTCAGTTAATAGTGCAGAAAAGAGCAGAGGTGCAACTGTTTCAGTATCCCTATAGTTACACAAGATGTGATTACAGACGCAACTGGATTGCTTGAGTGTGATTGTGAAACCTGACGTCAAAAGAAAAAGCAATTTTTGTTATTTTGTGTTATTCAGCATTTATATGAATGTTTTCTCAATCAGCTGTAACATCATCTAGAGGAGCACCTACAGCTTTTAACATCATTAAAAGGAAAGCTAAGCACCACCAGCTTCATACAAGCAGGATGCCAAATGTGCTTTTTCACCCCATGATCAATATAAAGTAGTTAAAATACTACAAAGTGACATGAATCAATGATTAAGACTCTGCCTCTCTTAGATAATTAAACTCCTTACTAGTTGAACTCAGTGATCCTGAAAAACATTAATTTGTGACATTATGAAGCAGAAGTAATTATTCACTAACAGATGATGGATTCTAATGCAGCTGGTCTGAAATTATTTAAAAGAAACAAGAAGGCATATATGTTCCATCGTGTCAAACAACTTTTTAATGAACCTGATACCTTTTGTGTATTCATAATGTAACGTGCGTCTCCACTTGTTTCACTGCTCGGCCATTACAGGTTTAATTAAGCTAATGAGGCTACAGATATTTCTCAGGAGTGGCTTTGAAGGAAAATGAAATCAGCCCCTCCACCATCCCCTCATCTCACGCACCACGCTCACTATAAAAGACGGGGGCAATGTTGGGAATCGGTTAAAGGAGCTCTACAGCGGCAAGAAAACCAACTACAGCACTTTCTTCAGATAATCACTAGTAAGGAGAATTCCCATTTCTCCCATCAGTTTAAAAACAACTTCCTTTTTGGCAGGAAATCTGGAATGCTGCACTTAATTTAGACAGTTTATTCTGCTTTGGTGTAAAATCTTTTAGCAAATTTAAGTAGTTGGTATTTATTTTTCCTCCCCTCCCAACATTTGAAACAGGACACGCTTCAACGCTATGATGTCGCCCACTCTCCTGGCTCTTTGCCTGCTGGTTTGTATCCTCTCAGGCATCAATGCATATCCAGTCAAGCCTGCTAGTCCCCAGGAAGGAGCTCCACCTGAGGACCTTGCCAAGTACTACTCTGATCTGAGACACTACATAAATCTCATTACAAGACAGAGGTAAGTCTTTAAACTTCTGATGTGTTCCGCTAAATTTCTTAAAACAGTCTATAGGAGATGCTGATGTGATGCTTGTTTCTTTTATTGATGCATAGGTATGGTAAAAGAGAAAATCCAGACACTGTATTTTCTGATTTGTTCATGGGAGAAAGCACAGAAACAGTTCCAAGATCTAATTATATCAGGTAAGAATTTCACATCTAATCAGCTCTATGACCCCAAGTCATGACATATTGCTTTACAAATTACCATCGAGAAAGTTAGAGATGCAGAATGAGACAGTGGATCCTATATTGGCTCTAACCAGTGATCAGCAGGTCCAATAATGAAAAATCTGATAACTCAATTATTGGAACAAGAAAAGATAAAATGGTAAATGTCCTATAGTTATATAGCACTTTTTCACGTTAGAGGGCTTGACCAAAGTACTTTACAATACATTCAGTTATTCACCCATTCACTCACACACTGATGGTGGCAAGCTACATTGTAGCCGCAGCTGCCCTGGGGCTCACTGACAGAAGCGAGGCTGCCGTACACAGGCGCCACCGGTTCCTCTGACCATCATCAGTATGCAATGCAGGTGAAGTGTCTTGTCCAAGGACACAACGACATTGAAAGCCAAAGCAGGGGCTTGAACCGACAACCCTCCGGTTGGTTAGGGTGATATGCTTTGTAAATAAATTGGGATAATCTTTTTATTTCTTCTTTGTGAGTCGTATTCATAACCACTACTTCAATCACAGAAATTGCAGGACATTGTTTTCCTCTTGTATGTGTTATAGTCAGAATCTGCAGGTCAGACTTGTAATAAAAATATGAAACCATTTAAGGCATGAAAATCTTGACTGGCACATCTGTAAAGTGAGCTTTAATGACCTATGATCTTTGTATGTATCCATGTAGATACGAACGGCTCCCAGGGTGGTGACTGTGCCTGCACCATCAAGTCCAGGAGAATCTTAAAGATTTTTGGATATTTCTGTTACCAACCTAAAAACATACGTGTGTTGCATGAAATAAACTTCTTTTGCCAATCCTTCTGGCTGTGATTTAATGTATTTGGTTCCTTTTTTTTAATCACCTGTGAAGGACGGAGTGAAGACTGAATAAACAAAATGGCTATAGTGAAAATGTTTTATTTATTAAATTTTGTCATTAAAAACATAATTTGTTAGCTCTAAACAGCCCACTTAAATATGTATACTTAAATACTTTTCCCCTCTAATTTTGCTTTTTTTTTTTGGCACCAAAATGTATTCCTTATCACATTTAAATGTTTATTTATTCTCTTTAAAATGATGTCAATTGTTTGGTTAAAAAAAACTTTAGCAGCTGAGTTAGTTTAACAACACAGTTTTAATATAGAAATTATGGGGTCACGGCAGGTGGCATATAAAATACACCAAAGGCATATTTCTGTAAATAAAGCAGAAAAAATAAATAAGTGGCTTCCCACCTCTTAAACCTGTGTGCCCTGCTTCATGCCACATTAATATCTGAAATAGATGGTGGCTCACATTGATACAGTAAGCGCGTATGAATGGAGGGAGAACAAATAAACATATATTTTGAAAGCTTTTTTTCTAGACAAAATACAATGAATATTCTTTCTTGGAGAGAGAAAATGTGATTTCTTTAGTAAATAATAAGCCTATTAAAATTGTCTTAGTTTGGCTATAATCCTTATGAAGGAATTCTTAGCATTCAGATGTTTAACAATGGCTCAGTGTTATTAAGTCACAGCGTAATACCGCCCCCTGGTGGTAAATTACAGAACCTCTCTTAATCAGAATATTGTCCAGATAGGTATGAATGTTTCATCTGAGTTGAGCACTAATAATCTACATGTAAACTAAGCAGGGCCGCGCAGGTGCTCAACCTTTCAGTTATTATAATAAAATTCTCAATAATGAATAAAGCAGCCTGGATGCTGCAAAAACACAATACTCTATGAACGATGAAAAACCTCCAGGGGCCAGTTGAAAGATCATATAGATAACATTTACTGAAAGATTACTCATTTACGCTTATATTGACAAACAACTGTGCTGTAATCTGGTCCAAAGGTTATTTATTCTTTGCTCCAACATTCTGTCTCACTGCGCACAATACGCAAGGGGTAATTATTGCACACAGCTGAGGCAAAGGTGACTGGGGAGGCATTGCTATGTCTTTTATATTACAAAACATATCAAAGATAACTTTACTAATACATGTTTTATTAAATATCAGAAGAAAGCTGATGGGAAAGTGAATAATAACCCCCCATACCTGTCTATTTAAACATACCAGCATGTACCAGTTTAAGTTTTGACGTCAGAATTCTACCAAAAGTATGTTACTTCAACTCCTACATCCTAAAAACAAAGTTTCTGGATAAAAAAAAAAACCAACCAACCAAAAAAAAATCCCAACAACATTATTATTGGATCAGTCTTATTAAGGTATCACAACTTATCAAATAAAATTAAAGCAGATAACTACATCAGTATATACAGATGAGTTTTTCCTCAATGAAAAGAGTCTTTTTTGCCTCTCACCTATCAGTTGGTAGTATGAACACAGTTTTAAACTTGAATGCTCATATTACTAAAGTGGGTCCAACCAGCTTTTCTAGCATCATTTAAAAATAATTTTAGGTGTCATGTACTTAATTACGAAAATTATGAAGTTTTTAATTTAATAACTTAAAATATAGTTGTTACAACAATATTTTATGAATTATTTTAAAGGGATTGTATTTATTTATATTTATTTTGCACAGACAAGCAAACAAGTCATATGTGACTGAATGAATGAATAATGAATAACTCTGAATACTTGTTGTCCATCTGAAATAAGCTTGTTGTTTTTTTAAGAACAACATTTTCAGTCACTAGAAATTTCTTTAAGCTTTTTAACAAAAAAATAAT